TATATGCTGTCAAGTCAGAACTGACTTATAGCTGACCCTCCAGCACGTCCGCAGAGGCTATAACCTGAATAGAAGGAGAGGGCCCCACTTTCTTCCTTGGAGAACCGGTGAATTCTATCTATATGCCTTTGGGTTGGCAGTGCAGCTCCTTACCATTAAGCCACCAAAGTTCCCTTTACAAGGATTTAAGAGGTTCATTTGGTCCATTTACATAATTTAGGATAATTTCCTCATCTTAAGATCCTTACTTCAATCATATCTGGAAAGCCCCTTTTGCCAGGTAAGTAACATACACAGAGGTTCTTGGGATTAGGACTTGGGCATGTTGGGAGGAATATTATTCTATCTAACCTAGTTCTCAATAAATGTTAGCTACGATTATTATTACTAGTGGTACTCTTCATAGTATTATAATTCCTAAGAAGTTTGCATTATTTTGTAGTATCTTTTTTTCCTCTCTCCTAAAATCTCATTTACTCCTCTCAGCTCAAACTCTTAATTACTGATCCTATAAAACTCCAGGGAACAAGATGTTACACTGCCAAATGTAAGGCAGGTTGTTTGAATCTACCAGCTGCTCTGTGTGAGAAAGACTGACAATCTCCTTCTGAGTGATTTATATCATCTGAAAACCAGCTGGAGGGTCAGTCATGAGTTGGTTTTAACTCCATGGCACAGAACAACAACAACAACAACAACACAAAACGCCATTTCTCCTCTGAGAGTTGAACATTAGTAAGTTTCTAAAAAAAATCTCCTATTTTTGTTGTTGTTGTTGTGTGCCGTCGAGTGGCTTGCGACTCATAGTGACCCTATGTACAACAGCCCTAAACTCTGTTCTGTCCTGTGCCAATCGCACTGTCTCCGACACACCCATCCAGATTACCCCAGTTACTAAATCAGTCCACCTCATAGAAGGCCTTCCCCGCTTGCGCTGTCCCTCCACCCTACCAAGCATGATGTCCCGCTCCAAGGACATGTCGAAAATATGTTTAATGTTATCTCACAGGGCCACCACAATAGTTCTTTGAATCACACAGGGCTACATTAGCCTTATCTTGCTACAGGTGGGTAAACTGAGGGCAGGGTTCACTTGAAGTCACAGAGCAGATGAGTTAGCTGAAGCGGTATCTCTGTTCCTTGCAAGGATCTGCCTCTTTCTCAGCCCCTCTGTAAAACACTGCCCTATCTGGGGATGCTCACACACTATCAGGAAGAGTCTAGGGCTTTGAGATTCTGTTTCCTTCCTCCAGGTGGGGAAGTTGAGGCTCAGGGTTGGTCAGTGTCTTGTGGGAGTAGATGCAAAGTTGGGACATATGGGTCTGGAGTCCCTTCCAGGGTCTCTCCTCTCCACTAAGTCTTTGCCTTAACTAAAGGGTGCTTTACCCAAAGCCATGGATAGAGGAGAGAGGAGAGGGAGTCTGGCTCAGGTTATAGAGGAAGAATAGAGATCTGTCCTGGGCCAATTCTGGTGGGCATCTGGTGCGACATGCAGCCCCTTTATGCGTGCCTCACTGCTTGGAAATAGCTAAAAATAAAGACTCCCAGTGGAATTTCCTCTTAGGGGAAAAAGAAACAGAGAAAATAAAATAATAACCCTTAGGGAACACTCTTCTTTTATGTCTGAGAAATCTCTGGGTCTGTGGACTGGCTATCCAAGGACCTTTGTGATGGGGTCAGCAGCAGAGGGTTCAGGTGGTAGGATGCTGCTTGATATTCAAGGGCCTCCAAGAGCATATTGAGAGGGTGCCAGGAGCATCAGTGCAGAGCAGCGAACTGGGCGGATAAGAGGCTAGCACAGTTGTGCTTGCACCACAGTTAATGCTGAGTAGGAGGGATCTGCAATCAGTGGGTGCAGACCTGATTAATATGTCTCTGAACATTGGTTCCTGCCCTCCTCTGTAGCTGGGCTGGGTCCTTCTCTGTCAAACTCAGTTCAGCGCAACAGCTACCTCCTCCAGGAAGCTTGTGTGATTTTCATTATTGAAAGTAGCATTGCTGCGATTATTTTTCCATAGCACCTAGTCAGCTACAGGACTAGAAGTTGGCTCTGTTATTTAAATGTGCACAGAGCATTCAGGATTGAGCAACCAGTTGGAGGAAGCATATAGAAGACACCACAAGTCTAGGAGGCAGGAGTTGAGGTCTGGCATTGTCTCTAACTTACTGCACAACTCAGAGCCAGACACACTTCCTATCCATAAAGTAGAGAAAATATCTCCACTCATTACAAAGGATGTCCTGGGTGGGGGGTGTGTGTCAATGGGAGTACATTCAGACTTCAAGTTACAGCAGTATAACACTGAGAGTTTGGCAAAGAAACTCTGTATGATCCAGCTATTCCACTACTAGAAATATACCCCGAAGAAATTAGAACTAGAGACACAAATGGAGATTTGTACAACAATTTTCATAGCAGCATTATTCATAATCACAAGAACATGGAAACATCCCAGATGTCCAACCACAACTGAATGGATTGAGAAATTGTTATATATTCACACAATGGAATATTACACAGCATTGAGGAGCAATGATTTTTAAAAAAAAAAACATACTACATAACTTGGGAGAGACTGGAGAGCATTATGCTGAGTGAACTAACTCAGTCTTATAAGGACAAATACTGCATAAGACCATTATTATAAAAATAGAAGGATAACTGTAAAAAATATGAGGGCCAAAGGGGGGATAGGGTAGAAGCAGAGGGATGAGGATGGGCAGGGGCACAATCATAGGGTTGCACAATTTGGTGGGTGGAGGAAGAGGGTAAAGGAAATGAGAAAGATCTGATGGAGACCTGAAAAGCCAGGGTAATGATGGGCATATTCCAATAATGATTAATTTTATAAAACATAATATATGGGAATGATTGGAGGAAACAATGTGAAGAATAGTGTGAAGCACAAGGTAATTTTGTGGGCAAACCAATATAAAAATAAAAATTAAAACATTAAGAGTTTGGGGGTTTATTTCCAAGTATCTCGGTCCAAGAGGCACAGATGAAAAGGAAGCATATTTAACTAAACTGAAACAGGAGAGGAATGCAAAGGGGAACAGACTTCATTCAGTGCAGAGAAAATGAGACAAAGGAGGCACCAGAGCTCCCTGATGATGGCAGTGGTTGTTCTGTGGAAGGAGGGGCTCCCTGTCATGGCAGGGGCACAAGGCCACCTTGCAGGTATCCAGCACAGACTGAAATTGGACCTGTTGTTTTCTGATTTTAGAATCAATTGTGGTATTATTTTAAGCCACTGGCATCAGATGTCAGCTTGGGTTTTTTTTTACTCTCTTGAATGGGCCTCTGAGGAAAGACAGCGAGAGAAACATTCTTTCTTGCAGGGTCTCCGCAGATCAGATTGTTAGTTTTCAGTCCCAAGTTATCCCCCACTTCGCTGTCACATGCTGCTAACCTAAAGATGGCAATGCTCTGGGGGTTTGGATTCACCAGCGGAAGATGATGGACAATCTCTTGTGTGAATTACTGCTTCCAAAAATTCGCTGGAGGGTCAGTTATGAGATGAGTCTGACTTGATGGCAATGAGAGTGAGAGCACAAATGAGAAAGGAAGGTCATTCCAGGCAAGAGCTGAGTCTCCAACTGGGTCACCTCTAATCCCCTTTCCTATCTGCTTCCTACATCAGTTAATCACCCCTGGCTCTGGGCCACTTCTTAGGGACATATTACTCCAACGAAGTAAAGACAGCTGATAAACAGATGGCATGGAAAATGTGTGCGAAGATGGATGTGCCTTGGGGGTCTCCAGGCCTGCCTCTAAACTTCCCAAGTTTCCCCAGAAGATTACTTGACAAGTGTTGACTTATAACTAGCCTTTTTTCTAAGGTCAAAAGTCCCTTAAAGTTCCCACCAGGGTCAGAAGTCAGAGGAGCCCCTGGTATTTCCACTATGTGACTGCAAGTCACTGTGTGACTCACTCCTCAACATTTCATTACTGTGAGTGGTGACTATCTGGTGAGTACTCCAAGTGGGACTGACACTTCTCAGAGACTGCCCTGTATCAAAGAGGCCCCTGTCCCCAAACACTGGGCACACTCCTCCCATGCCATAGCTTGATATAAAACCAAAACCAAACTCAATGCTAACTAATCAGTTTCCACTCACAGTGGCCTTATAGGACAGGGTTTAACAGCCCCATAGAATTCCAATGCTGTAATCTTTTCGGAAGCAGACTGCCACATCTTTCTCCTATGAACAGCTAATAGGTTTGAACTGCTGACTTGGTTAGCAGCTGACTGCTTTAACCACAGTACAATCAGAATCCTTTTCCTAACCGGGTAACATTCTCTTTCATTGCTGTTGAATTGGAATGTACTCATAGCTGACCCTCCAGTGAGCTTCTGAGACTGTAAAACTATTGAGAGGAGTTGCCCATTTTCTCTGGAAGAGTCATTGGTAGATTTGAATTGATGGAGAGATTATGGCCTTTGGTTAGCAGTGTAATTGAGTCGGAACCAACCCATTATTGACCCTCCAACAGGTTTTCAGAGGCAGTAAATTGCACAGGAGGAGACTGCTCATCTTTTTCCTGTGGAGCAGCTGGTGGATTTGAACCTCATAGTTCTGCACTGGGAGCACAATTCCTTAGCACTAAGCCATCAATGCTTCTTTATATCTTGCCTTGAGGTCCTGGCAGAGAAAGTGTTATTACCGAGAGGGTATGGGAATTTTTTAAATCAGCTCTGGGTAGGGCAGGAAATCCCTCTCAGACTCTGGATGAGAGAGTTCAGAGTCAAGGGTGAAGGGAGTGTGAGCCTGCCTTTGGCTCCACCAGGAAGAGCTGCTCTGCCATTGCTTGACCTGTCATGTGGATGTCACAGATCCAAGAAGGGCTCTTGAAGCCAAGTTAACTTCTGAAACCTACAGTCTCCTCACCTCTTACAAAGTGAAGCCAGCTTGGACAGAACACAGGAGGTATTTGCCAGATGGTTAAATGGACTACTACCTACTTGGTCTCCCTCTGAAAAAAGTACAAAACCCACCTTCTCCTGAGATAGACATTTTCCTGGGTTTACAGAATGAGGGTTGTCCGTTTGACATTTGAGACAAGTTCGATCCTCGCAGTTCCTGGGGAAATAAGAATAGATTTCCTTGAGTGGAATCAACTCCAGTCCCAACTTCTACAAACCAGAAATCTTAGTGCCCATTATGGCAACAGACATTAATGAGTGTGCAGGACCACACCTGCTCCCACTATTCTGTGACCCCCCCCAGTGTTTTTCCACAGGTTTGAAATGAACTTGTCAGCCAAAGCTGAATTAACTAGAGGTATGATTATTACTCTCATTTAGCTCACTCTGTGAGAACACTAAGAGAGTCCTGGTGGTACAGTGGTTAGATGCTTGGCCGATAACCCAAAGGGTGGCCCTTATCCTACCAACTTCTCAACCGGAGAAACATGTGATAGTCTGTTTTTTTAGAGATTTATCGTTTCGGAAATCCTTGGGAGCGCTGCTCTGTCAGAAGTGACCTGATGTCTGTGTGAATATTCCTATTTCATTACAGAAACATTAATGTCCTTGATTACAGGGTGCTGCCAGGTCTCCACTGGAAGAACAACATAAAACACTGACTTGTTCTTCTAAAATGTATAAAAATTATGAATGCCAAAATACAGCTGACCCTGAGGGTCTGGATAAGGATTGTGAACCTGTGACTATACAGTCAGCCTCTTTTCAGTTTTGGTCTCTTATTTTCAGTAACTACAGATAATTATGGTCTGTTAAAATATGAAAGACCCCTAGAGACCATCCAATCTGGAAGGTTCTTAATTAGGTGTGGGTGTCAGATTCTGACTCAGGTGACACACCAGCAGGTGTGTTTTTAGAAAGCTCTTCACGTGAGTCTGATGCAAGGCTAGAAATGTTGTTGTGTGCTATTCAGACTCACAGCCCACCCCATAGGACAGAGCAGAACTTCTTGCAGGGTTTTCTAGGCTGTTATAGAAAGAGATTGCCAGGTCTTTTCTCTCGAGCTGCTGGTAGGTTCGAACTCCTAAACTTTGCGTTAGCAGCCAAGAGTCCACGCATTGATCTAGTCTATTTTATAGAAGAGGAAGGCAGGTAGATTGACCAAGGTAGAGAATATGAGATGAAGAGCTGAGGCAGAAGCTCTTGCTACCTCAAGCTTCGGCCCCTGTACTACTTCCTTCCCTCGCCTCTGCCAGGTTTTGAGAGAAGAGACACACAGCAAAGGTCTGTGGAGAACCAAGAACAATAACCTAGATGATACAACCAGACAGGCTTTGCTCCATCATCCCTGGCTTGCCCTTCCAGCCACCACCTCTCCCTTTGTCACGAAATGTGAACTTTTCTCTGGTCTGATTCATTTCCCCCCTCCTATCTTCTGAAGCTGTAAAGCCCCCAACAAAGGTCACACAAGAAAGGGATGAGTGATATATGGCAGCTTCAGAGCACATATGCCAGGATAGTGACTTGGGCAAGGTGACTAACCTTTCTATTAGAGCTTATGGACCTCCTCTATAAAATAAGAGAAAAATAGTATTCACCTCACAAGGCTACTCTAAGGAAAGAAGCTGGTAGAATATTCAGCACACAGTAGGTGCTTAATAGGTAAGGAGAGAGGCTGAGGATGATACTGCTATTACCTCCGACTACTTAAATCAATCAGTCTATCTATCTATCTATCTATCTCCATTTAAAAAAGTTCTCAGCAAACAGTACAAACTAATGGGTCATTGTGGAAAGAGATCTATTTGCATAATCATTTGTCATTCATCAAGAGGATTTACATTTTTTATTGCAAGAAGCTTTTGTATATTATTGACTAGATCTAACAACTCTGTGAGATAGAAAATAGCTTTACAGGTATTTTTCATACAAGAAACACAAGCAATTGATACCAGTCCACACAGCCTGTAAGTAGCTCAGCTGGGCTTTAAGGCTCTGTCCTCACAGTACAGTCTTCTTCTGAGGGATCTAACATATGCCTGTGGCTACTTTTTCAGCCAATAGGCAGAGGGACTGAAAAGGTGTGGAAACTGAGGTTCAGAGAAGTGACTCGCCCAGTGCTTTTCACCCTCTCCTCCTGCATCCCACCCTGGCATCATCTCAGCATCCACCCTTTGCTTCCCCATCCCCTCACCTCATGTTCTCTGAGAGACAGGCAGCACAGCAGAGGGCCCTGGGCTCTGATGGGTCCTGGCAGACGGTAGGGGGCCACCCAAAGGGAAACTCATTCTCATCAGGGGCTGGGCGGGGGCTGCTGGCTGAGCTGGAAGCCATCCTGAGGTCCCAGGTGGGCCAGTGGACTAGGCTAAACTCCTCAAGGGCAGGAACCAGTGATGACTGAGATGAGAGGAGAGGTTGGCTCAGGCTGGGCCACCCTTTGGTAAGCAGGGAGTCTCTGATGACTTTATCTTCCTGTCTGATTTGTATGGTTCAACGTCACAGCTGAGTCACAGGAGGAATGAGGCAGGAATTACCCTTCATGGTGAAAAAAAAATCCCCTGGATGATAGAGGCTCAGGAGTGTCCAACAATTCTTCAGAGTGAGGGAGAGCAAGAGAGCAAGGCAGAGAGGAAACAAGAACTGTGTCACAGACTTTCAGGAACCACAGCTTGAGTTCCCCTGTCTGAGAACCGCAGGCTGCTGCTGGCTTCTTTTCACCAAGGATCCCTGAGGCACTCTGGCAGAGAGAGCCACTGCTCATGACTGCGCTGTGGCCCCTGGGGCCCCCCAGCAGCTCAAGATTCCCTGGGGGGGGGGTGGGGAGGAGAGGCTCACATTTCTGGTAGAAGTCCCCAAGGTCCTGGAAGCATGGTGGAAGATGATTCAAGTCCCAAGAGCTTTAGTTCTGCAGTCCAGAAAGGCTGGCCAACCTCAGGCAAATGTCAAATGCCATTTCCTCATAGTGGGTCTCAGTTGCCCCACCTGTGGGGAGGAAAAAAAAAAGGTGGTGTCTATTATCTCCTCTGGGCTGTGAGATTCTGGGAGCCTATGACCAAGGCAACCACAGGCAACAGGAAGGCCTCGGATGACCCCACCCTGCCCGGGATATTCCCCTAGCAGCCCTGGCAAGGAAAGAGGATCTTCCTTTTCTTTGAAGTCCTGAGCTAGCTTTCTGGGTCCCAGGCCTCAGGATCACAGGCTCCTCAGGCCCTCACCTCTTGGCCCCCATTCAGGAAGTCATAGTAGCCACACAACTAAGTCAGGAACCACTACTTCTTTGCCCTGACAAAAAAAAAAAGTATCAAACACATAAATGGTCACAGGAAGTTGCTCTCAGTTTCCCAACTGAGTGGTCAAGTGGGATGGAGATCTATGTTTTAAGAAAAGTGAACCAAGGGAACTACTGCTCCTGGCAGTAGGGTTTTGGGCTTTTTTCCCCCATGTGCCTCTTGACTCTCAGAACCACCTGCTAGTGTTCTTCAGCAGTCAGCAAACAGAGAAATAAGGTGCTGGCAAGTCAGTTGGACTTCAAGCTTTGTGTTTCTGGCCCTGAACAAGACAAAAGCAAGGCAACCTGAACCTAAAGATGGAGGTCAGAGCATCCAGCCTATTTCCTTATCTGCTAAATGAAGACCATGTTCCCCAAATACCTTCCTGCTCTGTTGTGCTGCAGACAAGGAGCCTTGTGAACCTTCACAGAGGTTTAAAAGTACAGCTTCTGAGGTTACATAGACCTGCGTTGGAATCCTGGGTCCACCACTTTTTAGCTATGGGTCTTCCTGGAGCAAGGCTCTTAATATTGCTGAATCTCAGATTCTACATCTGTACAATGGGGTTAATAGTACCTACTCCCCCTGATCACTGTGCTGTGGAGAGATCTTGAAAGGCACAAGGAAAACTAGTGTGTGGCTCAAGCAAAGTGATCCATAGGATCCTCAGCGGATAGTTACTCCCTTATAGCTCTATAACGTCAAGTGAGGGGATTAAAATGTTAAATCATAATTATGCAGTGTTTTCAAAGCCATCAACTTTATTGAAGCTTCACAGATGGGGAAGGAAGTTTGGACGTTGTTCCAAAAATCCCAGAAAAGTTCAGCTGCCCACATTCTCAGGACAAATAACTGGACTGCCAGAGAGTGCTGGCAGAGAGTGCAGGGCATCTTATGACTGCTGTCAATCAGGACCTCTGTCACCACTGAGCCAACCCTGTCCTCTCTGCCTCCACGCTTCCTTCTCTACCAGTGCCTTCCCAGTAACTTCAAAATTGGTTCAAGCTGCTTTGATAGTGAAAGTGAAGAATAGGTACTACTTTTTAAATAATAAAAGTGAGGAACAGGCACTACTTTTTAAATAATAAAAGTGAGGAACAGGCACTACTTTTTTAGTTCTATGTTTGGATGCTGTACTAGCTCCTTTACAGGTACCACCATCTCCCGGATTCTCACATGAATCCTAGGAACAAAGTATTGTTAGCATCATCTCCACTTTATAGATGAGGGAACTGAGTCACGGACAGGTTAGGTGACGGTCCAAGGTCTTACAAGCATGTGAACTCTTGAATGCTGGGTCTGCACTTTCAAGTATACATTTTGCACTTTTAAGTATACCCATTTCGAAAAGGCTTTCACCCTCATCCCAAGTTTCCTCGAGCTTTTATCTGTTCTCCTTATTATAACAGGGAACTCTGGTGGCCTTGTGTTAAGAAGCTGCCCTGCAATTCCAAAGTCAAGCAATTTGAATTCACTAGCTGCTGCTATTTACTGACTCTGAAAACACGCTGGAGGGTCAGCTATGAGTTGGTTCCAACTGGACAGTACACAACCACCACCACCTAGCTATAACAGAAATTCTACAACTGTCTCCTGCTCATTTTAATCGGCACAGAACAATTTCCTTAAGGCTCTTTATGAGGCAGGTAGCCGCGTGTCCCCGAATGTGTTCCAGTTTCTATCTCCAGGTCTGCATCTGATTCCTCTTTCCCTGGGTTTCCCATATGCCCTCTGCCAGCTCCTTAAAGGTCTTCTTGGGCCTATTTCTCTCCCACCTTAAACATCCCATCCTCGTGGCTGCCCCGGTGGAGGCCCACACACGCAGTGCTACCTGCCCCTGCTTCCCCTTCGTCCTTCTGTGGCCACCGAGATCAGAACCCATTTCTCTTGGGAAGCATCTTGGGCTGCGCCCTACGTGAGCGGGACCCATTCGTGCCCTGCTGGCCAGAGCACAGCCCCTGCCGCCTGGCTCTGTGACTCCCGGCTGCCGGCTGGTGTCCCCCACCCCAATCCGTGCGCCTGCTGAAGACACGGCCCGGTCAACAGGCCACCTTCACACCCATAGATTGGAGCACGACTCCGGATGCAAAGCAGCACCTGAGACCGTGCACTGGGAACGCTCCCCAGGGGTGCCTGGGACGCCAGCTGGAAACATGGAGGCCTGGATCTGCAACTGCGGCTCCCCCGGAGTGGGCCTCGGGGAGGCCTAGACTTGGGGCACCGCCTGACAGAGAGGAGCTGGGGTTGGGGGGACGCGGGGTTCGGGGGTCGCTGGAAGGCGAGGGGATCCCCCGAAGGTGGATGGGGCGTGGCAAGGTGCGGACAGGGGGTGCAGTGCAACCAACCTCGGCGTCTCCGCCACCGCTTCCGGGAGCTTCCGGTGCGGCGCGGAGACGTGGCGGCGGCGGAAGCGCGAGCAGGCGGCCCGGGCCCATCCCCACGGCCGGGGCGGTTCTCCGGGAGGGTGTTGCTGAGTGCCGTCCTGGTGGGGAAACTGAGGACCGGAGCACTGTTCTCTCACCAGTTACTAAGAAGCTGCATCTTGTACAGTGCTGGGCACAGATGAAGTGCCCAGTAGGAAGTATTTATATTTTAAATATGCAATTCATGGAATACACAAAAACCGACCCAGAATTCGAAACTCATCTTCTGCCTTGGTTTCTGCTTGGACATAGAGTTGTGGAGTGTGTGGAATTGGAACCCACCCATAGCTGACCCCCTTGCAGGTTTTCAGAGGTGGTAAATCTCATGGGAGAAGAATGCGCAGCCTTCTGAGGAGCACGTGGTGGAGTCCAACTTGCAGTGCAGCTTCTTAGCACTAGGCCACTAGAGCTCCAACTAATCCAGCTGAGTCTTAAATTGTTGGATTCTCGTCAAGAGCATCGTGCTCGGCTTATCAAATTTATTGGATTGCCAGTCAAGAGGTGGTACAGAGCTGCTCCGAAGACCTCACGCTCTTAAAAAAAGGACTTTTTAAGGAATATTTTGGTTTTGTGCATGCACACACACAGCCATTGCTTATAAATATGTACATGTTAATTTGAACAATGTTAGGCTTTTGTTTCAAAAATAAAAGCAACCTTGACTTGTGAGCATCACCAGTGTGAATGACAAAGATTCTTCACCAGACCCCAGCCTGCTTGTTTCCTTTTGTTTTATCTACTAAAAACTCATTGCTATAGAACCCCCCCCCCCCAAAACCCCTCACTGCTGTGAGATAACGCTGTGATTAATGGTGACCTCATAGAACAGAATTGCCCCATCGGTTTTCCCAGGCTGTAAATCTTTCTGGAAGCAGACCATGGTTTCTCCTGTTAAGTGGTAGAGTGCTTTTAAACCAGTAGCCTTTGGTTAGTAGCCAATCACATTAACCATTGCACTACTGTGGATTCTTCCATTGTTGTGGAGTGGATTCCAAAATCGTGGTAGCCTCATGTGTTACAGGGTAGAATTATTTTGTTTAGTGTAATCTTTATAGAAGCACGTTTCAGGCCTTTCTTCCACGGTGCCACTAGGTAAGTTTGAGGCATCAACCTTTATGTTACTAGAGCAATGCAAACTGTTTGTGCCACTTAGGAACACTGCTGTGTGTTAGGGACTCCTCGCCCTCCCTTTTTACTTCATCTTCAGTAGGATTCTAAGGACAGTGACCTATCTTCTCTTTTTGCTTTTGTTTTTAACCTAAGATGTATTTAAGCTCTGCTGTCTCCCCAAACTGAGCTTCTTTCTCTCCACTCCTGACTGATGGGCTCATGCTGCAGGACAGAGGGTCCTTCTGTGTAGAAAGAGGTCTTGCTGAGAGCACCTGCACAGTCTCAGTTTCCCCACCTAGAAAGAAGACTCATAGATAACAGCAGTGGGTCTCCAGGCCACTGTAATGAGAGAATTCCTGTAATCTGTGGGAGGTTGACCAGAATTACTTCTGTGGGGCCTTTACATTTGAAGGAAAATGATTCAAAGAGTTATTTGACTCTGATTTAAAAATTCGTTGATTCTCACTTCAACCAATGAAGTAAAGTTTCTCAAAGATTAAGGTCCTGAAAAAAAAATCCATTCTGTGGTCTC